TGATGGTCATCTTCCTTCTTGACCTACTAGGTCTGTGGCAGGCATAGCTCAGGTTAGACTTCTCACGGTGATCCTCTTGGACTTATAGGTGTCATGTCTCATGTTACTACAATTGGGTCTTCACAATAGGCTGCTCTTGGTGATGGTTGGTATGAGTGTTGAAAGGTATGCAACTATGTCATGGATTGTCGTATGGTCCAGTGCAGTTTGTAGGGGGTGGTTTTGAGCTTGACAGAGGCTGGCAAGGCCACTCATCGTGTTCTTCATGCCAGGCTTCAAACTATAGAGGTTGCTATAATTGTGGAGGGTTTGACCACTGGTTTACGAAGTGCCCTAGGTAGGTATTGCTATTCCAGAAATATAATATTCCCTAGTCTAGAGTGGTCAAATCTTGTCGTATATGTAGAGAGCTTGGTCATCACTCTAGAGCTTATCCCAGCATGAAACCATAGTGAGAAGTGTTCTGTTAGGTAAGTCTCATGGGTTGATAACACTTTCTATTAGAGGTAGTGCCTTGAGTGGTGCTAGTACTACTTCAGGTGTTCAGGTTATGCTCGGGCACAATCCATTTTATGCTTCTGCATGCCATCCAGAGGTCGAAGCTCCATGTATCCACTATTTTGATGCAATTTTGTGGTTTTATCCCTTTGTTCTTATCAAGTGTGATTTGGGGTTTTCATGCCCATTCATATTTATTTGACTTCTTATCCATTGTTGGCATGTTATTATAGCTTGACTTGAGAATTATTTAGGTGGTTTACCTCCTGTAGTTGATTCCTTTTAGTAGTGGATCGACTAGGTGGTATTATTTCAACTGGGAGTAGTGGTTGAGCAACTCTCCATGTTTTTGCATTGATGGCTTTTGTTGTATGTTCTCAGTGTGATGTCAATCCTTTTTAGATAGCTGGCTAGACCAATTTTATGTTGTTAAGCCTACCCAACTTAAGAGGTTTGCCTTAGTTGTGTGCCGTCCTCCATGTAGTAGTTGGGAGGTTTCTAGTTGTTGTGTGATGGGCAGTTTGGACTTTATAGTTCTGTGGTAGTCTTAGTTGGTCGCTTTCTTCCTTTTCCTTAGTCTTATTCTTGTTTGTGTAATTGTGTTTTTGCTCATTCAGTCTTTTTTTATTTGTCTTTTTCTGGTGGTCTAGGAGTTTAGTTATGGCTACCAAGGATTTGGAGGTGTGATTCCTTGATATCTTGTTGCTATTTTTTTGTTTTTATGGTTGTGCTGGTGGTGATTTAGAGTCGTCGTGGTGTTGTTCATCAATGACTTTAGACTATAACTTCTATAGGAAAATGGAAATTTCTAAGAAGGTTCACATTTATGATGGGGTAAAATTAATTCGTGGAATGTATTATTTTATTCTTGTTCAGGATGCGAGGTTTGCCTTTATCATGCTTGGTATCTTGTGTGATTCGTGATAGGAATTTGTACCCTTGGGCCACCACCAACCAATTGACTGTGTTGATACACCGCTAATCGGCTCTGTTTCCCTTTGACTGGGGTGGTTGGTTCTGATTTGCAGGGGAAGAGTAACTTATGGGCTCATTGTGTCGGATTTCTAAAAGCTCCTTTGGAGGAAAGTTCTTGGCTTCAGAATGTTTTGTTCCAATTGAGATTGTTCGTTTGTGAGAGTAAGGAGTGGATTTTGGGATTTGCTCAAAACTAAGTTCCTTATTTTGGCGATTGTTATTCCTTGATGTTCAGGCAAAACATGTAGTTCTCTTGAGGTTTGTGTTGTATGGGTTTGTAGGAAGTTTTCAAATTGTGTTGGAGATGTCCAAGATAGCTAAGGACTGACAAAATGCTCTTGATTAATAGAAAATGTTAAATTTGGAGCATAATGTGAGTATTTCAATTTATGAGTAGGGTTACTTCTGTCATTGTCATGTGCTTTCTCAATTTGGTGGTTTTGGTGTGGTGTTGGTTTTCTCAGCTGAATATTGTTCTTTAAGGCAAGTTTGGTTCGGTTGGGAAAGAGTTGGAGCCCAAAAAGGAATTTGAGGAGTTTTTAGAGTTTTGACGTGAACTTAAGGATTTTCCCTCTTAGCCCAAGTTCTGTCTTAGTGTTTTTCGATCTGGGAGAGAGTCTCAAGGTCTGGCAGAGCATCCAAGCCTAGTATCCTCATCTTTTCGTAACTTCAAGCTATAATTGTCCTTCTACTTATATGGACGAAAGTCCTATTAGTAGTGGATATTATAAGGACTCTCCATGTCATTTCCTTCATTTTTCTATCTTTTCATCATTAAGAGCTTTCCTTTAGCGACCCCAAGTCATTTACGACTTGGTGGGACTTAAAGTTTGGTCATCGGGTCACTCATTTGAGTTTTGTTCGAATTTCTATATTTTGGAACCTTTGAAACTTGAATAGTTGACTTCTGTCAAAAATTCAGGAAGACAACCTTGGAATGTAATTCTTATGATTCCATCAGCTCCGGAAGGGCCATTTTGGGCTTGGGGCATGGTTGGTTCAGGTATTGAGACTTTTGATATGAATTTGTGTCGTTTGGCATTTAAACTTTGAAGTTTTAAGCAAAGTTTGATTTTGATCAATATTCTTGGTAAACATGCTCGGATGAGAAATCTATTAGCACAGTTAACTCTGAAATGTTGAGTTTGATCTAGTATGACCTTTTGTGTGGTTCGCTAAGCTTCTGAACTCATTTCAAATCCTCTTGTGGATATTGGCTTAAAAAGGAACTTGGGTGTGCGGCCTACTTTTTGTCAAGACGACCTCAGATGGAAGTTTTGATGGTTTCATTGAGTCTGGAATGCCAATTTCGATTGGTAGCATAATTTGTTTGCGATCACGGGTTTCGAATGAATTTTGGGTGTTCATTTGAAGTTTGGAGCATTTTCCTTCAAATTATTGTGCAACAATTATAGTGCGACTGCTTTACGGGCCCTTTGATCGCTTTTTGTAGCCTCTTTAGTGGCCTAGGCATCACTTTCGCGGTGGGAGCCTCTTGGGGATTTGCCACTTTCACAGCCGACTAATCAGTTTCATGGTAGTGACTTTCACAGTAGCCGCTTTCTCCATAGGAACTTTCTGGGCTTGGCCGCTTTCGCGGCCGACTGATCGTTTTTGCGGTCCTCGGTGAAGGTTTATTTTGTTTTTCTATCCATTTTATCCAAATATTCGAACTTCGATATCTCAAGCTAGGAAACTTTTTTTCATGGGATTCAAGTTACGTTTTGTCTGGAGTTGGTGTGACTACGTGTGGGACTGAACAGAAAGTGTAGAAGTACGAGTATTGAGATAATTTTCACTTGGAATGGGCTGCCTTGTCTCTTTAATTTGAAGAAATTGTGAATGTCTTCGTTTGGGCTGTTTCGGCCATCAAATTGTACCCCATTTGGGGACAAAAACCTGATAAATCCATTAGGTCCTTTTGATGAAATCAATTTTGAGATTCTTGGTATGGGTCCCACATTTCCTTTTTTACTATATTTTGGGTATTTTTCCAACTATTGTGAATTTGGTCTCTAAACGGAGTTGATTCCTACTAGTCGCGGATTTCAGGTCTAGTCATGATTCTCTACATCCTTGAAAAGACTTGGATTCTAGCCTAGGTTGTGTATATGGACTTTTTGTGTCCCTGATGGGCCTCTCTTACCATGAGTACCATAGTACCGGATGAGTGAGTTGTATGGGTCCAACCTCGCCTACACGGCAGGGAGGCAGGTCTATACACTTGGTTACTGATGGTTACTGTTTGTCATACTACATACTTTGTATTCATATGAATTTCCTATCATTAGTATAATTTTTTTGTAGATTTCACCCTCCGATTTTATGGGGGCCGGTTGGGTTATGTTTGCTGTTTACACCTACCGGGTTATGTGGGTTCAATTAGGTTACTGTTTGATTATATTCTCTTTTGTGTTGTTGTTGATGTGACAACTGATTGGTTGTCGCTTTAGACTTGTGGTTGTTAGTCCACCTAACCTTGTATAGTCGACTCTTGTATCTGAGTTTGTTGTGAGTAGGTTGTTGGCTTCTGTTCCAAGTATGTTTTAACTGAGTTCCTTATTTTTTGTATCCTACTTATGTTCCTTATTGCTTGTCTATCGTTTTATCTCCTATTAAGTGATTTGTGTTATGATTTCATTATTACTTGTTGTATATACTTGCTTTGTCTTTGGAGCTCACTCGGCCATGTCTACTGAGTATCGTTTTTGGTACTCATACTATATTTTTACTCCCTGCATATCATATTTTGAGTTCTCGCCGTTGATTTGGAGTTGTGTAGAGCAAATTGGAGTTTAGAAACTAGGGTGAGCTCGTGGTGTTTTGAGTTACCATTTTTCGTCTATTTCCGCTAGGCTTAGTCTTTATGTTATATTCAGAGACAACCTATACTTTTTTTGTATTAGTAAAAAGTCTTGTACTCTTATTTTAATTAGATGCTTGATTACTGGTTGTTGCAAGGTCTTGGGGATGGTTTGTTGTATTACATTTCTATTGATTACCCTTTCTTCGCTTCGTTATAAGCTTCTTGCTTCTTATTGTTGACTTCTACTTGATAGCCCATTGCTTATGGCTCCAGACTAAGGGTTAGGCTTACCTACTGGTGGGGTGTAGTAGGTGCTATCATGACATAAGGAATCGGGTCGTGACAACAAGTGATTATCTTTGACTTCTCATTTATCGACAATACCCCTCATTCTAAAATAGAAAAAAACATTTATTGTACATTAACTGCAAAGTAAATGCGGACGAGCCGGGGTAGGTAGGTACCCCTTTAAGTTTCTCTATATAATAAGAAAAAATGGTTCACTTTTCTTCATCCATTTCTAATTTCCTACCAGCTAAAACGTTTTTTACTCATCTATTTCCTTCATAAGCCAGTCCCCTCTTTAGATCCTTTTTCCCTCTCCGCTCTCGCAGAAAACATCATTAGTTTCTCTCATAAGCACATTTTTGAATTTTTACGATTTTCTTTCTCCTTCCCCATTTTTTGCGGTTAACTAGATATCATTATATATAGATCTAAAATGGGAGAAGATGATTGGGATAAAAGTGGGGTGGTGAAAAGTTGTAATTTTAATAGACCTAACAATGATGTAGCTCCTAACTTAGGCATGGAGACTTCTCCAAATGATGTTTCAAATTATTTTGACATACGTTTAGCTTATGAAATGACTAATTTTAATGGCTTATCTAAAGTTTTCTCTATAGATTTTCCAATTGCTCATCAGGAAAAACCAAATGATCTAGTCAAAATCATGAACCAAAATGGTAACCAAGAGTTGTACTTACATCCCATTCAACCAGCTCAATTTATCCAACGAAGCTCTTTTCTTCCATCACCAACAACAATAGTGTGTATGCCACCAATAACTCCAACACCACAAGAATTGATTGATCAACAAAAACACCTTGACATAAGGTCTAACATTTATCCCAATTTCACTTTTTCCATGAGGAATCCTTTGATCCAAACCACAACAAGGTAACCACTCACCCTATTACATTTTATGTGTGTCTGTTAAGAATTTTGATTTTAATACTTTTGACTTGAAATCAGGAAAATTCAGTCGAAAACGATTATCTATGAATTGTTGCAAGAGGAACTCACAAATGATATATGGAGATGGCACAAGTGTGGTCAGAAGCATATCAAAGGTTCTCCATTTTTGAGGTTCGCTCTCTTCACCATTTTTTTGTTATAGAATATTTGTTCCCTTCTGTTCTCAATTTTCATAACAAAAAGTAGTAAAATTTATTAATGGTGTATACACATGACATTTGTCTAAAATTGATTATCGTTATGTGTATATGACATAACATGAATTACTATAAGTGTAGTACATCAAAACTCTGCGAAGCAAAGAAAACAATTGAGAAAAGCCCAAAGGGTGAGAACCTTTTCTTGGTGTCCTATTCTGGTGAACACAACCATGATCTGCCCATGAACCGTAGAAATCTTGTTGGTTGTAACACTAATTCAAAATTCAAGCTTCCAAAAGGCATAAATATTGTGCCCAAAGCATCAATATTGAATGTATCATCGTCCTCTTCTAAGTGTGCTAAGCGTTCAAGAGCTGTTGCTTCTCCAATAATCCCAACTATGCCTACGCTTGAAATCGGGAGCAAAAACAAAATGGTTGATGCGGCAGAAAAGAATAGAGGTGATGGTAAAGAGGAGGTGAACATGAATGAAGATAATATGATGGATTTGAAGAACTCCAAGGAGTTACTGTTTCCACCTAATATGGAAGAAAATGAGTAGAGGAATTTATCATTTTCCCCTATCCACCAACTCTATTTGTCAACGTATGTGGTCTTCTAGTCATGTTTCTGTTTCTGTTTTTAGTGTGGCCATTAAAAGTTATAGGTTTGTAGTTTGCTATGTTTAACAATGTACATCATAGAAAATGATGCTTCTCTAGATAACTAGATATGAACCTTTTTTGGTTTCGTTATTTTCTGTTGTTCTTCAATTCATGAATTTAGTCATTGTCGTAAGGTGTTGTTCAATTTTCTCAAATAGTTTTCTCTTTAAGAAAAGTCATCTCACTTAGTTTTTACATTAAATTGTACATAGTATTGAATATATATATATATATATATATATATATAGTCAAACGTTAATCATGCTAAATATTTTGGTTCTTTTATTTTTTCTTCTTGTTGTTTTGAAAATTATGAAATCTTTAAACATTGTAGTATGACCTCAAGACCTCTCATGATTACGCCTACACAAGTATGGTATTATTTATACTAGGGAAAAGGGTCAAAAATACCCCTCAACTTTGGTTTATTAGTTGACTATACCCCTGTCGTTAACAAAATTATTTATGCCCTTGCCGTTATCAATTTCACCATTTATACCCCTCAATTGACGGAAATTCCCAAATTGACTCAAATTAACCAATTTTACTTAAATTACCCAATTCTAACCCGATCCGACCCGTTCCACATCAACAATCACAACCAATAAGGAATAAAGCTTACAACTTTGTCATATGAAGAATGAGGTCAGTGTCACATAATTGAAAATCTGAAACACAAACAATTCTTCGAGAATACCCACCAGTACATCAGCAATAACATCGAATACGAAATGCTGTCCAAGAAGTACCCTGGAACACGACGTGGTTGCAGCCCATCCGATCACAATAAGCATCAAATAATCCACAATTAAATCATATTGAAGCTGAATCAAAACATCCCGAATGAAATCGGATGATAGATAAAAGAGAGTAGCAATCATGGAAACTCTGGATGAATGTCCACTGGGAAAGGACCAGTGGTCGACGACAAAAGAGAGAAATATGTTTTTGTTGTAAACGGGTCGGGGCCTCCGAATAAGGTGTTTTAGGGGTCCGATTACGATAAGGTCAAGGATGCCACCGAGGAGTAAATTGATTAAGAAGATGTTGGAATTTTTGCTATCGGAGAAAGCGAGACGGTAGAGGAGTAGTGAGAGGACTAAAGGCAAGAAGAGGAAACCATCGCCGGAGATCTCTAGGGTTTTGAGGAAATAGTAAGGGAGAATAGGGTGAGTTAGAGTGTAAAGACGGAGGGAGATGGCGGTATCAAAATCGACTATGCGGCGGAGTAAAGACGGCGCCGGCGACTTGTGGGGTTTGAGATCTTTTAAAAGAATCACGGCGCCGGTGCCGGCGACTTGTGGGGTTTGAGATCTTTTAAAAGAATGGGTAAGGAAAATGGGTTAAATGTTTATTGGGTTAGGTTTTTAGACGGGTCGGGCATTGGGTTTAAAATGGGGAATGAGTCTTTTTTTTTTTATTATTTTAAATTTGGGTTAATTTGAGTCAATTTGGGGATTTCCATCAATTGAGGGGTATAAATGGTGAAATTGATAACGGCAAGGGCATAAATAATTTTGTTAACGACAGGGGTATAGTCAACTAATAAACCAAAGTTGAGGGGTATTTTTGACCCTTTTCCCTAAATTCTGAAAGTTCTAAAAGTCAAAGACTTCAAAAGTTTCCTTCCCACCCACTTTTCAAGTTCCAAGTTTCAACAATATCTTTCTTCTTTCTTCAAATTTGTTTTCCAACAATATATTTCTTCTCTCTTCAAATTTGTTTTCCTACCCACCATCTGAATAGCATGATAAAACAAATTTCTGAATAGCATCAATAGAAATAGCATCTTTCTTCTCTCTTCAAATTTGTAATAATTCCTGTTTTAAACAGTTCAGGGGGGTGATAGGACACCCGTGAAGTTGAAGTGTGTACTTGGAAGTTCGGGTATAGATTGGAGGGGCTTTAGACCATTTTCTCTTTTAAATTTCTTGAGATGCAAAATTGTATATTTTTTAATAATTGGATTATTTTAATAATTATTTTTCAATCAATAATTCATATAACCAATGCATTTAATCTTTCTTGCGACATAATACTCTAGGTATATCAAATTTCTTCTAATAACTTTTTCTTTTAATATAATTTTTTTTTTTTACAAATCGTATTTAATATTTTTCTTATGAAAAAGCTATATTTGTTATTGCTAAAATAATTGAGGTCCTTCAAATTTGGAAGCCTAAAGTAGTTGTCTTTTTCTTAAAGGGGCAAAGCCGTCCATGACAATGGTGCACCCGTCTTCTTGAAATCCTAGATTCGCCTCTGAGTGACGGCGAGGGTATAAATAACTTTGTTTTAACGACAAGGGTATAGTCAACTAATAAATCAAAGTTGAGGGGTATTTTTGACCCTTTTCCCTTTATACTATTATGAAGTATTCAACCAAACAAATATTTTACATTAAAGTTAATTTATATAAATATCATTACTGATATTTTATGCATGCATTAACCGTTTTGAAAGATTTTTCACACTTAAAAATAATTTTATGATACTGTGGATTAGTATTGATGATTTGAAAGATAAATAAGTAAATGTTATAATCTGTTAAATTATATTTGTTGGTATAGTTTTATTCTATCATCAATGATTTATAAATATCTCAACTGTCACTTTTATTTTCTTACTCTTAATTTTTTCTTTTGCCAAATGACACATTTAAGGTCATTTTTATCTTTGAGCGAGGAAACATGGGTCAAATATAAGTCTTCAATGTTGTTGGGTATACCTTTGAATATAATTCAATCCCTATGTAATCTTTATACAAAAAAGGGCCTAAAATATCCTTGAACTATTGAAAATGGTACAAAACTACCCTCTAACCATCTATTGGCTTCCAAATACCTCTGTCATCCACCTATTGGTTCTAAAATACCTTGTCATCCACCTTTAGGTCCAATATTGACCACTTTTATAGGGGATTATCATTTTAAAAATAATTAAATTCGTGGTGACCATCTATTGGTTACAATTTAATTACTTAAATTAATTTACATACCTACCCATTACTGATTATATCCGACCCAAATTAACTACACTCGGTCAACTTAACTACACCCAACCCAAATTACATTGACTCCACTGATTAAAATAAATTTACCCTTCATTACAAACATTGCACTTCCTCTTCCAATCGTCTTCTCCAATATATTCGCCTACAATTTCGAATAAAAAACTAGTCTTTTGAGATAATGTGATGTTTGAATTAAATATTTATAGTGTTATTTATCATCCTATAAATAGTTCTATATTTTATGAATTCTGAATTTTAGAATAAATAAGTTTATATTGGGTTCTAAATATATATACATGCCAAGTCAACTTTTATGGGTCTTAAATAAAAGCTACTAAAAGAAATATATATACTTATCCTTTTCTCAAAAGAGAAGGTTTCAAATTTCTATAGATTTAGGATCTCTCCAGATTATATTAAATTAATTATTATATGATCTTTTTAAATATGATTCTCTTTTATCATATGATTTATTGTTATTTGAAATTTATTTTATTAATTTCTACTTAGTAACTCGTTATTGATATTACAACTAACTAATGAAAAACTAGAAAATCAAATGACATGTAGTGATAGTTATCTCAAATCTACATGTTTGGAGTTATTTATATTCTGGTCGAGTCTGTCAAACCCCTCTTCATCACAAAGAGACTTTTGATGGGAGAAATATCGTTTTTGGAAAAAAGACCCTTCTAAAATAGGGTGATACATGTGTGTATTTAGGTAGTGTTTTTGAGATTGTTAACGAATATATTGGGGAAGAAGGTTGGAAGATGAAGTGAAATGTTTAGAATAAAGGGTGTATTTTTTTAATCGGTGGGGTAAATGTAATTTGGGGCAGGTGTAGTTAATTTGGGGTGGGTGTAGTTAATTTGGGTCGGGTGTAATTAGTAATAGATAGGTTCGTAAATTAATTTAAGTAATTAAATTGTAACAAATAGATGGTCGTCACGTATTTAAAAAAATTAGATAATCTTTTATAAAAATGGTCAATATTGGACTCAAAGATGGATGGCAAGATGTGGATATCAGGAGTATTTGAGAGTCAATAGGTGGATGAAGGATAGTTTTGTACCATTTCTAATAGTTTAAGGATATTTTAAGCCCTTTTCCAATCTTTATATATAATAAACTGTTACAAATTATGATAATTGATAGAAAACTTTGCATAATTAATGCATCGATACATGATTTGAATGTTGAACAAGTTATTACTAACTAGTTTCAACAAATGTACGTTGAGCGTTAATGATTGAACATGGATATTTAGTCATTATAATTGCACCATACATATACAATTAATTGATAATTTACCTTGAAGGTTTATACAACAACAACTGTCACGACCCGGGGTACACCCTAGACGTAACATGGCATACAAGACCCGAGAGGCCTCATATAAGCCACATAGTTTTCATAGTCAAGATAATAGAAAATCGATAAGATTAAAACAATTCAACAATATCAAAGTTTTTATAAAACGAAGTGGAGGTCTAATACACTTGTCTCAAAAACCATCTAGTACAATAGAATCTTAGGACACAACCCATACAACAATGTTCACAAACTAAAATAAAAGAACATAAAGAAATAGTGGCCAATCCTCGAATGCTATGAGGCCTCACCAATCTTCAATTATTGCATCTACTAAGGATCCTAGACACGGGGATGAGAGTCGAGATCGCCGAACCCTACATTTGGATAAGAAATGTAGGCAAGAGTATGTGTTAGTAGAAGAATGTACTAAATATGATAACTTGCACAAACATCAACATAAACATAAAAGTTAGACAACATAAGTCATAAGGCATAAGGCATAATCAATACACATAATATATCATTTTACATATAAGGAGTACTTCTTGAAGTAACCTTAATTCCTCC